AGACGCTGAGTCGGCACGGGTAAACAATCTCATTATGTTCACACGATGGTTACAAACATTCGGGTCCGATAAGCAATGACAGCAAGAAAACCACTGTTGTAGTTTCGTGATCCAACCAACCGGTTACGGAGTTTCCTGAACTCTAAACTCAAAGATGGAATTTCTTCCTCTATTCTCTCCACGTCATCCGTTGACCACCGCGTGATTTCCTTCAACCTACAGCAACAAAAACAAACAAGGGGTGGTGGCAAGAGACAGCTGGGAATGCAGTAAACGTGTCCCAGACAGTATTTAGTCGGATAGTGAATTCTCCGTCATCATTTTCAAATATCCTGTAGCTAATTCGTGTTGCTTATTCGATCATTGTCCTTACACGACCACAGGTGTGCGCACACAGAAATCGTGATCTAATACCATTGGCCCGGGCATTTTGTCGTGAAGGAATGAACCCATCAGGGTGTTTGACGATCAACTGGTTCGTTTTAGTTTAAGGAACACCGTGTCCGTAGGAATTACCACAAAGTGAAGATTGGGTTCGCATCCATACAACCCGGCTTGCTGTCGCGAATATTGGTCTCGCTTGAGGGCGTCGAATTGTCACGGAAACCGGGACTTTACTGATAACCGGAACTAAACTTACCCGAAGATGGTTTGCGCAGTCGTTAAAAATTGAAACCACCGGTAAATCATCCCAGGGAAAAAGGGTGCGCTTTTACGACTAATTCCTGTGGAGTAAACCACTGAGGTATTGAGAGTGAGAATTATCTGCATCTTCAGGAACTGGGAAGAAGACCATCAGTTGAATAGAACCTCAATTTTAGTTCTGTGGAGCCCACATGCAACCGTCTACGGTGCTGAGATCGTCAGAATAACAGCACTAGCACCAGGCCCAGCTGAACTGCCCTCCGAAATACTCTACCTAACGAATATAGATAGCTGTACCCTACGGTGAATGCCCAGTTCCTCTTTTATCGCAAATGGGTTCGCTGGCCGGCATGTGACGATCTTCGGTGCTGTGTATCACGTGAGACAGTCTGCTTATCTCTTGCAGAGGCCACTAATCTCAGCCCAACTTTTCACGTTCTTCCTTGACGTTGCAGACACCACCTGTCTTTTTGCGTATTCTCGAAGATTGGTAGCTATCGCCTTTATTCCATCAGAACTACTGACTCAGTAGAGAATCCATGTCCTGGTTGGATTTCAGGCCTGGATCAATAAGCAATGTTTGGTGACAAATGAACCTACTCTGCTAGGTTGAAGTGCTCCCAGCCAATGGCCAAGCTTGTCCTCATAAAGGATGAAAACAGCTAGATCACGCAGACGATGAAAAGCTAACCGACGTTACAATTTCTGCGATAAAAGATGAGATGAAGTGTGAAGCGCATCACAACTATGTGATCACACTCAAAGGCGGTCCGAATATGACTTGCATTTTCTACTTCACTGAACTTTGGCAACCCTTCAACCTTCCATAAATGCTTAGAACTTGGGTTAAATAAAAGCCATCCTGTGTTTCGTCGGAGCACAAACCACCCAACTACATCAATCTTATCGAAGATTCGTAAAACCACTGAGCCCATCTCGATCATCTGGCAAGCCACAAACATACCAATCAACAACACGGATCCGAAGAAATGAAGGGTTACTACAACCCATTCCCATGAAAACATCTCACTGATGCAGTTGTGGTGTAATCACCTGCGTCGTCATGTTCTGCGTCCCTTCAGGTTTTTGCGAGACGAAGACAACAGAGAGGAATCAGGGGCGCTAAAGTGAAGTAACTGGCAAACGGGATCACCCATCCTCCGCCTCTACCATTACAACTAAATATTCGTGATGAATAAAGCATTCGCTTGATGTCGAACTCGGAGGATTATATATACGCACACACCTGCACCAAGGCCGATCGGAATTCAAAATGTCGCATGTAGCACCTTACTAATTCGAAGCATGGACAGATCACACTTGTCGGGCGCAGGGGAACAACAGAGATAGTGTTCGAATTCCCACGTTGAACGAACTTAGCCCAGTAAGTGACGCACGCGT